AAAAAAAAAAAATTATACCCTGATTTCCCATTTTCAAAAAAAAACAAGATGTCATTAGTTTGGGCCAGAATGAAATTGTTTATGAGGATCTTAGGGAGATGCATTGAAAGTTTACTGTATCTAGAAATACTTGTGCTTGTAAAATCGTGTGTATATAAAAATAGTAGTGCTGAATATCAGACGTTCATAGATACAATGAGTACTACTGGATGAAGTTACAATAAGAAATTCAAAACAATTATTGCTAAGGGACAAACTAAAAACAAAGTCAGATTTTAATATTAAATTTCATTAAGTAATTCATATTTTAGTGAATGCAATTTTGTGTTAGTGGCTTGATTTAAGCACTGCTTGGCATATAAGAAAAGTCACACATATACATACGTATAATATGCAAATTGATTCATTTTGTATGCATGCTCTCAATTTGAAATTTCATTAAGTTTCTATTTCTTTCGATAGACAAAAGAAGGAACTTTACCTCTCTAAATCACTTCTTTTTTTTCAAGCCAGACTCATTTACTTTTTAGTTAGCTCAAGCTTAATTGCCGGCAACAACATTATTTACAGCACTAGCAAAAATAATACCGCCAACAAAAACAACAACAGCAACAGCAACAACAACAACAACAACAATCGCCACTGCAGCTACATTGCTGCTGACACTAGTACGCGATTTAGTCGCCCAGTCAAAGTCGTTGCGCTCTCTTTGTCATCTGGCTCTCCTGCCCGCGCTCTCTCTCTCTCTCTCTCTCCTACACTCTCTCTCTTTCTCTCTCTTGCGCGCGCGCTCTATTCAGATGAACAGCAAGTCAACTCGTAGCCTCACGATCGTTTGACGCTCTTCTGCGTTCGCTCTCCCTCGCTCTACCGCTCTCGCTGTCGGCGCAGCGTCTGCTGCTGCTGCTGACGCTGCCGCTGCTGCTGCTGCTGGTGCTGGTGCTGCGGCTGGCTCGGAGCCACGACGCCCGCACACACATTTCCAAGCCTCATTCCATAAACAACTGTGAACGTGAACGGTAACGGTGCGTGTGTAGCTGAGCCTCTCTGCCTGAACGTCAGAGCTCGGGATCGTTAAAACGGGGCTCATCTGCCTCTACCCATATTCTGACCCCTCCCACCCTCGCTCCCTCTCACCAGCCGCAGAAATCAGAAACTTAAATGAAATGAACAGTGACAAGTGCCGTAAAGAGCAACCAAAACAGTTTGAACTTGTTTTTTTTTTTTTTTTTTTTTTTTTTTTTTTTTTTTTTTTGCTATTTCTATTTCTGTGGTGCTCCGTTTTTTTAGTTTTTGTTTTTTGTCGAGTATTTAAAATATACCAAAATATAAGCATACACTATAACGG